TATTATAAGCCGACGTAGGCAAGTACTCGCGTATTTAGGCTTAACAAAAAGATTAAAAGAAAAGGTTTTGTATACCATTTTAGTAGCGGACAAAGAAATGATCACTCGTTTATTTGTTAATAAGGTTCGCTCAATACAACTAAATGAGAGCTAAGTTTCTCAAGAAATGTAAAGCGACGTTGAGTAAAACCATCTTATATTGATCACTAAGCAAGTCAATATAATATCACTTGTTGAAAGTGTGTTTATAAACAGATAATGAATAAGAGATGTATCGAGGGGCTGATGTTCTTTAGCATCGCTATGATTATCATACTTCTCATTAGAGTTTAGCTTTATCTATTACTAGAAGAAAGATTTTTCTTCGCTGAAAAGCTCTGAATACTGACAATAGATAGTGAACCTAAATTTTTATTTTTCATTCACCATAGCATAAATACATTCTAATTATTAGTCACCTACCACCGACTACGTATTCGACACTAGTTCATTTGTTCAATCAATAACAATGGTTATATCTCTCGTTTAGATATTTTCACCAAGTCAAAGTATTGTAGGATAAGAAATTAAACAATTACCACTAACTATCAGTATTAACACATTAATATTGCCATTCATCACTAACTGATAATTAGTGAGTGATAACGAGCATCACACACTTTCTACAAAATAGTTATGCAAGTTTTTTTATTTTAGCCTATTTTTCATGAATGACGCAGAGCGAAAACTTGTTCTTATACTCATTCCTTTTTGTAAAAAACGAAAAAGAGACGTTGTTAAGTGTCTTTCATAGTCTATCTAAAAATAAGCTGTGAAAAATAGATAAAAAGACGAAGTTCTACAGAGAAACGCGTTTAAACGTTTTATAACGGCAAAAACGCTTTTTAAACACGTTTTAACGCCGTTTTCACCGTTTGATGTTTGTCTGGGTATGTGGGTTGAATTCTAGTACCCGTATTTGAACTGACTAGGTTTTCAAATCAAAATAGGTAGAAACTGCTCAGGACAACTTAGTCTGAATCTAAAACTGTTGAAGACTCGTATGTAGTTTTATCAAGGATGCCACGAGTGTCACAACAGCGCTCTAATTTTAAGAAATTTTCAATTTTTTTGTGTACCCTTTACCGAAAATCGGCGATATTGCTCAAAAAATGATGATCCCTCCTCGCAGTTTTGACTACTTCGTGACACACCTTATTTTTGGGCTCATATTAGCTGCTTGCTCAATAGATTAGGTTGCATGCACACATAACTTTTAAACTTGATTAACATGTCAAGCATTTGATTTGATCAATATTAGTTTGATACAAATAAAATTAGTTAACATCTGTAATAGATCAAATTCACCCAAGTAGACTTAACTTCATCGTTTTTAAATTTCTGGTTACGCCACCAGCTTCAGTGACATGCAAGACCAAACTATTTGAAGTCTTTAATCGAAAAAAATACTTAAAAAGCAACAAAGGTTCATTCTGATTTTTTAAAATATGTTATAAGTTACAACAGCTTTAAAATCATGGAAGGCGAATCGTTGGAGTTTTTGATTCTGCTTCGCACAGCGTAACAGGCAAAATATAAGCTATCACGCGTTATGCTTTTTGATTCTAGTTAATTTTCACCTAATACAGATCGTTCGCCTACATTGTATTCTGCTGCACAAAAAATGGGTTTTTGTGATAGTGTTAAGGATGTGGCCATTACTGTCTTTGGTCTTATATGTTTCTTAGGGATTTGCGGCCTATCCCTTGCATCACTTATTATCGGTGCAACACGAATACAACAATGTCCATCGGTACCAATGGTACCTATTTGGTTGATCGTTTTCGGTGCTGTTGGAATTTGTTTTATTATATACTTCATCGTCGGCTGCGTAAGTAAGAAAGGATGATTCGGCGTAACAATTTATCCCTGTGGGTGTGCTTTAATACTCACAAATTTATTATTTTAGCTCATAGAAAAAAAAGTTGTTAGGAAAATTCCTGCGGGATTAAAATGTGAGATACAATCTAACAGCCAATTTTTTTGGGAGAAATATAGCTTAGTTCGGTGGCTTTCGAATCTATTCTCAAGACAAGTATCTTCTTGACCACTGTCTGCGACGGACTCTGAGTCCTGTTGGTCACGATGTGTGCTATTCTTTGAGCAAGGGCGAAAGAACTAAAATCAAATTTTATTGATTGGCTGATTAAACCGATTATTTTTATTTAAAATTCATTTTATTTAAAAATATGTGTTCGTTCTCCCTTACTTTAAAGCCTACTTTTTTTTAACTATTTCAAAATCAGTTCTTAATAAAAATTACAGCATTCGATAGTGCAAACATTATCCAACCAGTCTATACCAATGTTAAGATGTATTTGCTCACTACACAGATTTACGATCACGTACACAAGAGATGCTAAAAGAAAAAAGTTGTATCAAATCATTTCGCATGAGGTAATTCGGCACAGTTTCTATTAGAGCTCACTAAAGTCGCTGTAGAAACATCATCAGAAGAGTTTTTTTTCTAAACTAGAAGGGACATTTAGTAGAGAAATATTTTCTCTAGATCCTTTTTATCGAAACTTTTTTTCTATCATTTAAGATAAGAAAGCGATGAGTATTAAAATATACACAGAGAAAACGTTTTGTGCCGAATCACTTTTTTATACTCTATGAGTTGTATCAATTTGCATGAACTGTTTCATACAACATATTTTTGTTTTCTTTTAGGTCGTTTGCCAGGGTAGATTTCAGAGTGTGGCGATTATCCTAGGATTAGTTATAATTCCATTGTTTTTATTTTGCTGGGGCATTGTGGTAAGTGTAAAATTCTCATCAACGACTGCATCAGAGACATTCACGATAATAGAACAAATTTTACTTTATGATGTTATATGTACATATTTGTTGCAGACCTTTGGAACTTCTGAAGTCAAAGTTTTCATCTTCTTGTTTGACTGTGTGGTAGGTTAGATCAGCTCATGCTTTGTTGAACACTCCTGAACTTTCAAGAAAATATCAATATACATTGTCTTTGTAAAGATGACTCTTCTAACCATTAACAAATATGTGCATATAACACTAAAAAACGTAAACTTTTTGAATGGTGTTCTTTTCTGAAGTTGATCCATGGATGCTCTCGTTGGTTCGAAATCTAATTCAGTCATTTATTTTAATTCACAGGGACTCGCATACACTGTACAAGCGACTAACACAAACTGCGACATAGTTACATATAAGGTAGCCTTGGGTTTATCGATAGCATCGACGGTGATCCCTGTTCTAACAATTTTTGGCATATATTGTTCGAAAATGATCGAAAACTGCTGATCTTCAGTCACTCGTCAACCAACAGCTCAAGTGGGTATTTTCATTCCAACATGTACGGCATGGCAAGACTGTTGCTTTCACCCAACAAACTAAAACGATATCTAGAAATACTAACTCACGTCTTTTAATGTCTTTAGTTCTACTTCTATTTTAATCAAGAAATATGTTTATTTGAAGATGATTAGCACGATTATCATACCGACAGATGTGTTCGTATAGATGGACTGCTACGCTTTTATACAACCTGTTTAGTGATAATAACTTGAGCTTTTGCGGGTGTGGGTGACTTCTCTGTCGCCACCATTACTCACACCTAGACCCTTACCCTCATTTCGTCTTTGTTATGAAGAAGAAACGAGTTTAGTTGTAGAAGAATATATTTAATATTATTGACATTAGTTTATTTATAATTTCATCTGCATAGAAATATAAATAAATTTTAGAAAACATTTGGAAATAAGAAAATGAAGAGATACACTGAAAAAGAATAGTTCGTCGCTCAAGTAGGAAAAGTAGGTATTAACGGGTGGGCCATAAAGAATTACACTACATTGTTGTCGCTATAAGTCCGTTAGTTTGAATCCAATCGAGCCGATTTTTTCCTCATCAGAATCGCTATTCAATTCTCTACAAAACCATGTGTAAAAGATTTTTATAAACTAGAAAACGGCTCAGTCGTAGAACGAATAAAAAAGGTGCCAAAATCTTCAACTTTCAAGCTCGAAATTTATGAATCTTTAGGGTATGTTTCAACAATTTATACGCAGGCTTGAGTTACGGGAGACACAGTTTCTGGTATTTTTAGATATGCTCTTTCCGATTTCCTTGAAAAAAATTTCGTTGAAAGTGGTATTCGTCTATGAAATCGATATTTTCCGAAAACTCCCCTAAAACACCTTAGCTTGGCTTTTCTTGAAGGGAATCTACCACAAACAAAACTTTGTATGACTCTAACGATTGTACAAGGATGTAGTCGAGTATGTTAGCTTTCAAAGAAAAAAAAAATCGTCAAAAAATAATGCTTTTTTATTGAATGGCATGCGTTTTCATGCCAATATTAAAAATATGAAATGGAAGTAGAATTTTTTCAAAAAAAAAGGAAAAATTGATCCTGAAGTTTTATATTCATTTTTCGACCAAAAAACTTTTCAAAGACATGAAACTCGTCCAGAATTTGATGCTCTTTAAGATGGTCAACTTAGTTTCTTCGTAGCTCCTCACGTGAAAAGCAAATTTTAGAAAAACTGGGTTTTGTGCTTGAAAGTTGAAGATTTTGGCACCTTGTTTTCTTCGTTCTAGAACTGAGACGTCTTCTAGTTTATAAAAATCTTTTGCATGTGGTTTTGTAGAGAATTGAATGGCGATTCTAACGGGAAAAAAATTGGTCCGATCGGATTCAAACTGGCGGACGTATAGTGACAAGAAAATAATGTAATTCTTTATGGCCCACCCGTTATGTTTCGAACGAAATCTTTCAGCATAGTTTCTCCACTAGGTAAGTTTGCGATTTCAACTGAAAATCGGCACAATGAGCATGTATTTGTCGTTTGCAAGACATTTGACATACACTCAAAATGAAATGAATGTTTACCGATACAAGATCTCTGAGCACAAGATTGGCTTAATTGGAAGTTGTCAAGACAGATACGGCAGGTTTGATGCAGTAAATCAGTCGTGACTGTCTTTTATCAACCTAAACGAAATTCTGCGATGGAGCGAGGAGATTCGAATGTGATGCGCTGCCATAATCGATAAAAATCATTTTCATATTGAAATCGTTGACGTTGAGCTTCTTTCACAGTTAAAATTGCCAAACGCCGCTGATATTCTCTTTCCCGAACTCGTCGAGCTGCTTCATAATGACACAATTGCTGTTCTTCTTCCCAACTAAAAATAAAAAGTATATCAAATTCGAAATCTTGTTTTTTTGTCAGGCATTGAACACATCTGTATCAATATTAATCATTAATAAGCAACAATCGTTGAGGGTGTGAGTGTGGGTATTCATCGGCGATATAAATTATACTTAAAACACACACATCCACATCCACACCCACACGCATTTGTCATATTTATATAAGTTTAAAATAGATTTTAAAAACAAAGTTTCTTTTTTTCTTTACGTAACCTACAGTAAAGTGTTCATTTAACACATTTATATAAATGAGAAATCGGTAAAAGATCAATTTCCTACTTTGCTTTGTCTAGTCTACACACCCTAGAGAGAAACGGGTATTTGTTACTATCGGAAATTCTTTCGGGGTTTCCAAGCGATTCGGAAACGTTTCTTGTAGTTTCCAAGTTATTCGGAAACCCTAAAAGAGCTTCCGATAGTAACAAATACCCATTTTTTTATATAATGCAGTAAAGTATTCATTCACCACATTTAAATAAATGAGAAATCGATAAAATAACTTTTATAGGTAGGAAGTGCGCTGATGAATTTTTTCTTCATCTGATTTATATTATAAATCGAATCAGGCAAGTACTCACATACTTATGCTTTACAAAAAGATTAAAAGAAAAGGTTTTGTATATCATTTTATTGGCGGACAAAGAAATGGTTTATACAGGAATGATGATATGTCAACATATATACTTACATCAACGATTTTTTCCTAACATGTTGTTTTTTATCAGTAATATTACTCGTTTACTAGTTAATAAAGTTCGCTCAATACAACTAAATGAGAGCTAAGTTTCTCAAGAAATGTAAAGCAATGTTGAGTAAGATCATCTTATATTGGCCACTGAATAAGTCAATATAATATCACTTGTTGAAAGTATGTTTATAAACAAATAATGAATAAAAGATATATCAAAAGACTGATGTTCTTTAGCATCGCTATGATTATCATACTTCTCATTAGACTTTAGCTTTGTCTATTACTAGAAGAAAGATTTTCTTTCGCTGAAAAGCCCTGAATACTGACAATAGATGGTGGACCTAAATATTTATTTTTCATTCGTCATAGCATATAAGCATTTTAATTATTAGTCACCTACTACTAACTAACGGTAAATAGTAATATTGACTATGTATTCGACACTAGTTTATATGTTCAATCAATAATAATTGTTATTTCTCTCGTTCAGATATTTTCATTAAGTCAAAGTATTATAAGATAAGAAATTAACCAATTAACACTAACTGATAATCAGTGAATGATAACGTGTATCACACACTTTCTACAAAAAATGAAAAACAGACGTTGTTAAGTGTTTTCCCAGTCTGCTTAAAAATGAACTGTGAAAATAGTTAAAAAGAGGAAATTCTACGGACAAACGTGTTAAAACGCTTTGTAACGACAAAAACACTTTTTTGAAGACGTATAAACGCCGTTTTCACCGTTTGATGTTTGCCTCGGTAATCGTCGAAAAAATACTTATATAAGCATTTCCAAAGGCGCCTTTTTTACATTTTCTTTCATTACTCTTTCAATTTGAAAAGATTTAATAGAAGGAAGAAAAATCATTTTAAGTGTACTCTTACTCAACTGGAAAAAATGTAGATTTTTTCGGAGGAACTAGCTCTTCTTCTTCCTACCTCTTCAGTTAATATAAGCAGCGAAGCAAAAAGACACAAGCATTCACTTTTTTGCTGATCTTAGCTTCAAGTAAGTACAACTGAACAGTTACTTTTTTCTAAACTGTGTCTTCCCTTACACAACAAATAATGTAGAATACTGAATAAGTTATCACATTGATTGAAGATAAGTGTGAGGCTGTGAATGGGTACAGAAATCCTAGAATCCAGTTTTATTCCGAAATAGAATTTCAAGAATTAGATCGAAACATAATTAAACGGAATTTTGGAATAGGATGACGGAACCCTTTCAGAGTTCAGTGAGCGCACTATCACAGTATACGACGGGATAGCATGAAAAGGATGTGGATATCGTCTTCTTTCACAGCTACACTCATACTTTTGATCTTTTGTTATGTAATTTTAATTATTGCTGTTATTGACAAATTCATATATTTTTCTTTCTTTTAATTCAAGTTGAGAACCATAAACATTGACAAATCAATCATGGGAAGTGGCTGTACAAGAGTATGCTGTAAAACAAAAGTGGCTTCAACACCTGTTATTGGTGGCGCCATTACCAATCTAGAATTAGGACCGAAAGAAACTCCAAATGGATGTTGTATCTTATATCCAGGTAAGACAATTCAAATGTGCAATATTACAAGATGAAAAAGACTACGCAAACCTTAAAAATAATCTAATACTATAGAGGTAGTTAATGTAATGTTTATTGTAATCTAAAAAACGTAAGTTGTCAATTGCGATTACATATCAAATCAATAAGTATATTGACATCGAGTAATTTAGATGAAGATTTATGTTAAGTTCTGACTGAGTAGAATAATACCATTATTTGTATGTATTAGTATATATACTTCGATGACAAGTTTGTTATAAAGAGTATTATTGACATCAATTTCTTTCAGGGTTGATGAAAAAAAAGAGCAAAAAACTATACGATAAATGAATGAAGTTGATTTGCTTAGGCATAAAATTAAAATTAATTTTCATTGTTTACATTATAGGTGTATCTACTAGTGGCGATAAATACACGTGCCCAATTCTTGCTGTGCATACTTGGGATAAATCGATGCAGAATGTGAAAACGGAAATCGCTGATCTGCATATACTAGGTACCTCGAATAAAAACAGAAATACTACGATGATAGCAAACGCAAATGACAATGTTGAATTTAAATTTGGAATTAACCAAGAAATTCAAATGCTTCCTATTGAAGATATTCTCTCCATCAAAATATCAACTGAAGTTAAAAAAGCAGTCGGGCAAGAAAAAACAGTAGCTATTAAACAAGCTCCAAAAGACGAACTGACATGTGGTAAAAAATTTAAAAATGCCTTATGTTGTAAAAAGCAAGTAGCACAAGCACCTGAACATCAGGTTACTACAACAGAAAAGCGAAATGCAACAAGAACCATTACCGTTACTATCGAGCGTATTCATTATAGTCTAATTGACACACCAAGCCATTTGCGTGTTGTTTCAGAAAAACGTCAGGAACAATTTTATGACTCCCATTTGAAAGAAAGAGTAATCAAGTTCCATTATTTAAACAATGAAATATTCGATGAGAATGAATACATGATTCATCTACAACAATGTGAAGATCTTGCACGTCTTGTAATGCAATTAAAAGCCATGAACAATCATTATCCTGATGAAGCTCAACTTCAAAGCATTATTCAACAAAATCATATTCATCATTTTGGTCAAATAGTGAATAGAGATATTGAAACTTTGGAAGGTACTTCTGATGTAACCGCACTTACAGTATATAGAAATAATTAACTGGAAATTATGAGAGTGTAATAATCAAGAATTAACAATAAAATATTTTTATTATCGCTTGTTTTTTTATTTATTCAATAAAAACTATAATGAACAAACCATGAAATATATCAAACTCGAAAAGAATTAAATATTTCATTGATTTTTATGAGTTCATTTTATACTTACGTTGTAGTACAATTATATATTCAATTAATCAAATGTTCAAGACTTTTTTAAAATTCTTTCTTTTCTTTTTATTATACCTTTTTACATTAAGTATCTTGCTTTTATGAGTAATTTGTGAGTGAAGTCAATCTTTTTTATTCTATTTTTTTCGTTGTTAAATTATTAATGAATTTTGTATTAACTAATTTTTTTAATATAAATTAGAATTCAACGATTCACCGACATTTACGCGCACGACGGTTGCGCGAATTGAGAAAAAGATGATAAACTATTTTTTTCTTAAATCCGATTTAAACTATGAAGGGACGGAAATTTATCTTTAACTGCTGGTACAAAAATAGTTCTCAATTTCGAAAAAGTATATTGATATAAATTATTAACAGAGATAAATAGTATTTATTTACAATAAATAAAAAAATACACTAACGAGGGAACGTGAGACTTGTCTTCTGTCTAATTTTAATGTAAAGAATTTCTCATTGGCAAATGTGCAGAAACATAAAATACATGAGAGGAAAGAAACCAAAAAAAAA